GGAACTTATTTTACAAGGTTGAAGCTGGATGACAGGTGGCTTCTGCCTGTAATCCTCAACCTCAGTTTAGTCTTCAGAGTAGATAGGCCTTGTCTCAATAAACGAATAAGTAGATACATAGATAAATAAATAGATACATGGATAAATAAATAAAGGCAAACCCCACAGAAACGCCAAAGTTGACAAGACTCCCTTAAATGTAAAGCCAGTCTCAATGGTTCCACCTAGAATGTAAGAGGAAACAGCCAGGGAAGCAAATGAATGAAGTTTAGTCTAATAATATATACATATTTTTGAGGCAAGATCTCATGTACCCCAGGCTAGCCTTGAACTGAGGATGACCTTGAATTTCTGGTCCTCCTGCCTCCACTTCCCAAGTACAGAGATTATAGGCATGCACCAGTGTACCCAGTTTACAAGGTACTGGGAATCGAACCCAGGGCTTTGTACATGCCAGGCACGCACCAACACAGGCTGTGTCCCTAGCAAGGCAGTGCCTGTACAGCCCTGACTGATCTGATACTCCTATGTGTCACTATGGTGAGCTATAGTTTAACACACTTCTTTTTTCTTTTCTTTTTAAAGACTGTGTAGCCCCAGCTGGCCTGAAAGTCACTATGTAAACCAAGTCAGAGATCTGCCTGTCTCTGCCTCCCAAGGGCTGGGATTAAAGGCATGTGCTACCATGTTGGCCTAGTTTAAACACTTTTCCCTGATGAAAGTTTTGACTGGGAGCCTGATTCTACAGTTATCAGCATAAAACAAGGGCTTTAATCCTAACACTTGGGAGGTAGACAGAGGGATCAGGAATACAGGCTAGCGTTGGCTACATAGTGAGTCTAGGCTAGCCTGAGCTACAGGACACCCTGTCTCAGAAAGAAAGAAAAGAAAAGGCGGGAAGGAAGGAGGGAAAGAAGGAAGGAGAAGTGGGAAGAGAAAGAAAAGATTCAGAGAAACAAGCCCATTAGTGAGTAAAGAAGGCAGACTAACCGGACCACAGAGAATACAGCATCGTGTGTCCTGTAGAAGTTGGCGATAATAAAAAGATCAGTGGGCACCAGGAGTTGGAGGGCAGAAGAATGAACAGGGAAAGCAGGAAGGACTTTTTAGGGCAGTGAAAAACTGCTCTGCATTGGACCTTGGTCCAAATCTACAGACTTAGGCCCAAGAGTGCCCCCTAGTGGAAACCATGGCCCCTGCATAGTGGAGATTTGGTTAGCTGATTCTTATTTGTTTGTTTGTTTGTTTGTTTCAAGACAAGGTCTTCTGCAGCTCAGGCTCACCTCAGGCTCCCTACATATCCGTCTGAGGATGACCTTGAACTCCTGATCTTCCTGCCACTGCTTCTCAAGTGCTGGGATTACATGTGTGTACCATCTTTTTTTTTTTTTTTTTTTTTTTTTTTTGGCAAAGTCTGTAACCCAGACTGGCCTAGAACTTTCAGTCCTCCTGTCTCAGTCTATTGAGTGCCAGGACTACAGGTGTGTGAAACGCCACACTGGCTTGATAGAGAGGTTTGCTGTGCGGTCAGGGTGGGAGGGACGTGAGAGCTCTCTGCCTCCTACTCAATTTCGCTAAGAGCAATGACTTTTTAAACTAGTTATTTATTGTACGTATATCAGTGTTTTCCCTGCATGTACATATGTGCCTCACATGTGTGCCTGGTGCCTGTGTAGGCCAGAGAGGGTATCAGATTCCTGTAGAGAGCCCGAGTTGGTTCCCAGCATCCTCCTATGAGCAGGTCACCTGTCACTCCAGCTCTAGGGGACCTGGCACTCTCCCTCTGAAGCTACCTGAAGACATTGATGGTCTTGGCTGACGGTGCCTCCTCGGTCACCTCCACACCGTCCTCGTCATCAAAATACTCCTCGTAGATGTCGATGGCATTGTTCTGTTTGATGCAGTGTTCCATGATCTGTGGAGACACCCGGAGATCTTAGGGGTGAAGAGAGCTCTGTTCTAGCCAAGCAGGGCTATCCTGCAGCCTGAGAAGGACAAAAAACACGGAGTGGTCCCTGCCCTTGTTCCGTGGGGGAAGCATCACCTCCAAAGAATTACAGTTGGTTCTTGGGGACACAGGCATACAAGCATGGCTCACATGGCACTTATGTCAAGGACAAACTACCCCAAAGGTCCTCCCTGTCATTTCTGATGTTCAGCAAGGTCTAGCCCAAGCCCGACACCCTTCCAGGAGCCTTCTTTGATTCCTTCAGCAGGAAATTCACTCCTTATGGAGCAAATGGGCAAGCCCATGTCTCCGACAGAGTTTCTTTTAATGGTATCTGGCAAAATCTGTCTGTCTGTCTTGGACTCTCAGAATGAATTACAGACTCTTTGGGGACAGGAGACATGTGAGATTCAGTTTGCAGTTTCTGCTGTGTCTGGCAGAGACTTAAAATTCAGTTCTGTGCATGAGTGAGCATTACTGACTGATTGACAAGCTCTTTTGGGGTACCCTTTGCCAAGGGTCTCCCTGCATCTTATTTATTTAATTACTATTATTGCATGTGTGCCTGTGTTTTTATGGGGGGATGTGCTCACCATTGCACATGTGTGGAGGTCAGAGGATACTTTACAGGAATGAGTTCTCTCCAGCTATCATGTGGGGTCCAGGGCCCCAACTCAAGTGATCAGCCTTGGTGACAAAGGCCTTTACCCACCGAGCCATCTTGCCAGCCCTCTTCTTTCATTCTTAAACCTGTCTGGCTAGAGGCCTTTATAGCCAGCAGTGAGGTCCCCCTTCCCTGGCTGGAAGGCCACAGAAGCCTACTTGGGGCTCGGCACAGCCTGGGCACCGTCCAAGCTGCGGGAACTGGTGTCGAACAGCTGGAGCTGGGGGGAAGCCTAACCGAGCCCAGCTGCATGACGGCATTGATGTAGTTCTCATCTTTCTCCACTTTCTTCCGGAAGCGGATGGTCTGCTCCAGCTCCTGGGGGTTCACATCCTTGGGCCAGCCCCCCTCGACATGGTTGACCCCGCAGCTCTCCATCTCAAATCGCTCTGTGTTGGCCTAAACAGAGAACCACAGATGGGATGTCACAGGTCTAAGCATTCAGCCACTTCTGCAAACTCAGATCCTGGGGGCCCAGGACCCCGAGCTCTTAAGGGGATACTGAGGAAGGGGTGCCCTGACCAAAGCCACCAAGTGAGGCCCTCTCTGGTCCTCAGGTGACAAGTGGCCTCAGCAGCACTACCTTTGCAGGGGGCAATGGAGGTCATGGAAAACCCAGTTCCATCTTCATCTTTTTTTTCCCCCCTGAGACAGGATTTCTCTGTGTAGCTTTGGAGCCTGGCCTGGAACTTGCTCTGTAGGACAAGCTGGCCTTGAACTCACAGAGATCTGCCTGTCTCTGCCTCCTGAGTGCTGGGACTAAAAATATGTGCCACCACTACCACCCAGCCCATCTTTATCTTGAATAGGCTCGGGAGCACATCCACTCATCCTGGGATATATAGTAACAGTGATTGGTCCTCTATCCTTTAGCTTCAGAGAGTGCAGATCAACAGCAACTAAGAATGTGGGCTTGCCTGGTGCATTCTGTGGAGCTGGCAGGACAGTTTTCCCAGCTAAAGTTGCCTTCATTCATTCATTCATTTTATATTTGAGACAGGGTCTCATGTAGCCCAGGTGGGCCTCACACTTACTATGTAGCTTGAGTATGACTTTGAACTTTTGATCCTCCTGCCTCTGTTTCCAGGGTGCTGGATTACAAGCATGTACTGCCACACTTGGTTTTATTTTTATTTTATTTTTGAGACAGGGTCTCACTATGTAACCCTAGCTGGCCTGGAACTCGCTATGTGTCGGTCAAGTTGGCCTTGGACTCAGAATCGCCTGCCTCTGCCTTCTGAGTGCTGAGATTAAAGACATGCATCACCACGCCTGGCTTACACTTGACTTTATATATTTGGGATGGAACTCAGGGCTCTCTACGTATGTTAGGCAAGAACTTTACCAAGTGAGCTACATCTCTGGAAAGTGTGGTGCAGCCATCACCTCTCTGTAGTTCCAAAGCTTTTCACTATCTTTCGGGGAAGGAATCCCCATGCCCATGAACTGTTTGCTCCATCTCCTTTCCTTTAAGCCGGCTCTCCTAGAGTGAGATGCTCTGAAGCGCAGGGCTACAACTGTAAAGCCCTGAGGGGTGTGCTGTGCCAAGAGCACCATCATCCTGGGTCCAGAAGCAGTAATTAGGTTGAAAAAGCAGGAAGCTCATTCATGTGAGTCACCAAGGTCACTCATGCCCACAAGATGGTGAAGGTGTTTGGGCCAAATCAAGTGATACTTTCACTGATTGACCCTGGGCAGGATGAGATGGGTTAGCTCATTCCGCATGATTCTCAGTGTGGCTGACAGAATCGGAGTTTGATCCCTCACTTCACAGGGACACAGTGGGAATTTTCTAGGTAACACTTCCTTTTTCTCAAGCCCCTCTGGGTAGTTCTCTCAGAAGGGTCAAATGCCCAGAATGACTCCAGTGACACTTCTGAGACCTCAGAAGCATTGGGAGGAACATTTCTGGACAGAGGAAATAGGTGTAATCTTTAAAAATCAGACATGTGGCCGGGCCGGTGGTGGCCCACGCCTTTAATCTCAGCACTCAGGGAGGCAGAGGCAGGTGGATTTCTGTGAGTTCAAGGCCAGCCTGGTCTACAGAGTGAGTTCTAGGATAGCCAAGGCTAATACATAGAGAAACTCTGTCTCAAAAAACAAACAAACAAAATATCAGATTTGTGAGATGGAGGCAGGAGGATCAGAAACTCAAGGTCATTCTTGTCTTGGCAAGTTCAAGGCCAAGCTGGGTGTACACAACCCCTCTGCTACAGACTTAAAAAAAAAAATCACACATACAAAAAATTATCATAATGCTTTTAAGTAGATTTGCCAGCTTGCATTGCGTCACATTCACAGCCATATCTGGAGGTGACCGAGCCCTGGAATCCACCCACTCATCCTGGGAGATATCATATTAACAGTGATTAATTATCCATCCTTCAACATCACAGAGACTGTGCATCAACAGCAGTTCAGAGCGTGGGCTTGCCGTGTGCACTCCGTGGACCCACCTGCTCTGGCCCAAGAAGAGTTGGTGTTATCTACTCCTGATCCTGGCACAGGGGTGAGTCTTGGGGTTCCTCTGTCCATACACCTCCAGCACCAGCTCTCGTCCACTCTGCCTAGTTTCCAGGTAGGCCAGTTTCCCCACTGACCACCCTGGGTCTCCAGGGTAGGAACTCACCTCGTGTTCTGACATACTGGCCGAGCACTGGATGCCCGTGTCCACTGGGTTCCGCTCCACATACAGTGTGGACAGCTCAGGGTTGGGCGGGATGTCGATGTTCAGCTCCGCCTGGCGGTCTGAGAAGTTGCACTGTTTCCCAAACTCGCTGCGCTTCTTGACGTACACGTAGACGATCTCCATGGCGACGGCTACGACCGCTGCAGCAGGATAGAGGAGAGTCTGAGACTGGTGAGGGGTCCCACCCACGGGGTCCCACCCACCCAGACACCGACACCGCTCATCTCCTCAGGTCCCACTGGAGGCAGGGCCGCGTTTTGCATCTGGTTTGCAGGGAACCAGGTTAGGGAATCCTAGGGGATCTCTCCAGAAGCTACACCTGTATTTTTAAAAAAAATAATTTAGGGCCTAGAGAGATTGCTCAGTGGTTAAGAGTACTGGCTGCTCTTCCCGAGGACCCTGGGGTCCATTCCTGCCCCCACACAGCTGCTCACAAGCACCTCTGACTCCGGCCCCAGGGGACCCGACATCGCCCTCTTCTGGCCTGCCTGGGTCGTGTACACACATTGTGCACAGATACACACACAGGATGCAGGCAACCCCCAACACACACACACACACACACACACACACACACACACACACACACACACACACACACACACTCTTCTACAAATAATTCCATTCACCAGGGCACTTTGAAGGTCGAGGCAGGAGGGTAAGACTTTAGAATCATCCTAGGCTACATAGCAAGTTCAAAGGCAGTCTGAGCTACATGAGACCCTGTCTCAAAATACAAAACATAGGGCCGGGCGGTGGTAGTACACGCCTTTAATCCCAGCACTCGGGAGGCAGAGGCAGGCGGATCTTTGTGAGTTCGAGGCCAGCCTGGTCTACAGAGCGAGATCCAGG